AAACATGTGATATTGGTATTAGAGAAAGATCAGGAAGTGTCGAGATATTAATAATTGTTATCCGGCGATTCCGAGATGAAACCGTGTATGATTAAACCGTGTTAACTAACTATATGTATATAAAGATAATTGTAAATATAATAAAAGTGTAACATGAAAATGAAGTAATATACAGTTTTGTCTCTTAATGGGATAAGGATAAGGATACAGTCAACGAGTTCCAGTGAAGTTCATTCAGTGAGCTTCTGTAAAGTTCAAGGCATGGCTCGAGATCATTCAGTGAGTTTCAGTGAAGTTCAAGGCATGGCTCGAGATCATTCAGTGAGTTTCAGTGAAGTTCAAGGCATGGCTAGAGATCATTCAGTGAGCTTCTGTAAAGTTTAAGGCATGGCTCGAGATCATTCAGTGAGTCTCTGTAAAGTTCCAGGCATGGCTCGAGATCATTCAGTGAGTTTCTGTGAAGTTCCATGCATCGCTCGAGATCATTCAGTGAGTCTCTGTAAAGTTCCAGGAATGGCTCGAGATCATTCAGTGAGTCTCTGTAAAGTTCCAGGCATGGCTCGAGATCATTCAGTGAGTCTCAGTAAAGTTCCAGACATGGCTCAAGATCATTCAGTGAGTCTCTGTAAAGTTCCAGGCATGGCTCGAGATCATTCAGTGAGTCTCTGTAAAGTTCCAGGCATGGCTCGAGATCATTCAGTGAGTTTCAGTGAAGTTCAAGGCATGGCTCGAGATCATTCAGTGAGTTTCTGTAAAGTTCCAGGCATGGCTCGAGATCATTCAGTGAGTCTCTGTAAAGTTCCAGGTATGGCTCAAGATCATTCAGTGAATCTCTGTAAAGTTCCAGGCATGGCTCGAGATCATTCAACGAGTCTCTGTAAAGTTCCAGGCATGGCTCGAGATCATTCAGTGAGTTTCAGTGAAGTTCAAGGCATGGCTCGAGATCATTCAGTGAGTTTCTGTAAAGTTCCAGGCATGGCTCGAGATCATTCAGTGAGTCTCTGTAAAGTTCCAGGCATGGCTCGAGATCATTCAGTGAGTTTCAGTGAAGTTCCAGGCATGGCTCGAGATCATTCAGTGAGCTTCTGTAAAGTTCAAGGCATGGCTCGAGATCATTCAGTGAGTTTCTGTGAAGTTCAAGGCATGGCTCGAGATCATTCAGTGAGTTTCAGTGAAGTTCAAGGCATGGCTCGAGATCATTCAGTGAGTTTCTGTGAAGTTCAAGG